GTTCTTCTTTTGTAGGAAAAAAATTTTGATTGCAGGTTAGAGAAGAATTGTCATCAAGTTTCTATGGTTGAATGGTGTTAAATGAAGAAAAAAGATTCAGAAAACGGATATAGATTTTTTTTGTTTGAGCAAAGTAGACTAATTAATGTTAGTTTTTTCTTTTGATTTAAATGTATATTTATGTAACATTTTTATTTATATATTCAACCACCCAATATTCTTATTTATTTGATTGTATTTTTTCAATTTTGATTATGTTTATTTTCTATTATTTTTTTGTTGGCTTATCCTACACAACATATTTACAAGACAATATTTAAAAGATAACATAATTTTTAACATTTTATATGTAATTATGATTGACTTATCATGATATGTTCTTCATATGAAAATAATTTTTCCATCTTACTACGACAAGAATTACATATGACATTTACAAAAATATATATTATATGTGATTTGTTTAACATATATATGCACATATGTATGTTATAAATTTATAATTAAATATATTTATGTTTAATAATTGAAGGGATTAAAATGATGCTTCAAAACCAATTATTTAGACGAATATAATAATAATAATAATAATAATAATAAATACATATTTCTAAGTACCGTATTTATTTGAAACTCACACTACAACTCAAGAGTTTTCTAATTTATTATATTTATTAGTTACAACTCAAGAGTTTTTAATGTATGATTATTAGTTGTAATTAGTAATAACTTTTTATTTTTCTTTCATTTATAAGATTGTAAAGTTTTGTTCACTAAAAACATTAATGTATTTGAATAGATTTGTGATTTAAATATGAAGAGTTAATATAAATATTATAGGTGTTTTAGTGTTTTTAGGTTATTAAAAGTTGTAGTGTTTGTTTTTCATATTTTTTATTAGGCGTTATATTATATAGATATAGATATATATATATATCTATATATATATAGATATATATAGATCTATATATATACAAATGGGATAATAGATGTTTTGAATTTTTATGTTACTAAAAGTTATAGTTCATTTTTGTTCATACATTGGTTACCCGAAATATAGATAGATTATCAGCCGGTTGATATATAATTTACACAATTTTAAACGGCTTATAAAATTATCAAATAATTGTACACATCATAATGACTTAAAAAATTGAAATTATAATGTTTAATAAAACTAATATGTTAACTATATGTTTGCTTACTACTAACATTTTGTTTCAAAGTAGAAATAATAAAAAATAATTTGTTAAAATTTATTATTTTAACTATATAATTGTATTCTCGCGCAACGCACGAGGATTCAACTAGAATATATATATATATATATATATATATATATATATATATATATATATTACAAATTAAATAAAAAAATTATTCCAAGTTACATATATATTAACAAATCATTTCTAATCTTATACTTTTTGTATAAATTGAAAATTTTATTACAATTTGATATGAACGTCTAAACTTTTTCTTTATATAAATCCATTTCAAAATTAGTTTTTGTTTTCAAATTTATATAAACAAATTTTTTATAAAATTTCTTATTACTTTTTTTTTAGATTTTTCTAAATTTTTTAATAATTATTTATAAGTTTTATTAATTTTATAGAACTTTTATATAAAAAATTTAAACATTTTTAAGACTTTTTATGCAAATTTTTTTAAAACTTATAACACTTCAATTTTTTTTATTTTTACAGCTTTTTTAGTTTTGTTTTTTAAATGTTATAACTTAAAATTTCTAAGTTTTCTTCAAAAAATTTAACACATTTTAATTTTTTTAAAATTTTTTTACTAATCCTTTATTTACAAAAAAAATATTTATAAGAGCTTTTTTAAAAAGTATAAAATTTATTTAAAAATGTTGTAAAAATATAATAAAAAAATATAATAAAAAACAAAAAAGGGTGTAAAATAAGGTTTGAAAAAAGTATAAAAATATTTTTTTAAGTTGTATTTTTTAAAAAAAATGTAAAATATATTTTTTAAATTGTAAAGAAGCTTTAAAAACTTCCAAAAGACTGTAAAAAAAAACTTTTAAAAAACCATATCAAAGTTCATTTAAATTTTTTAAAAAACCGTACAAAATAATTTAAAAAAAACCTTATTTTGAAACGGATTTATAAATAATAAATGTCTGGACCAAATTTATAATAAAATTAAAAACTTTAAGAAAAAATATTGTAATTATAACCGATTTGATATATTTGAAAAAATATATATATTACTTTTTTATATATTTAATTAAGTTATTTACAACTTAAAAATAATTGAAATAATTTTTTTTCCATAAACATCTTGGCGGTATAATAACATAAAAATGCTTGAAACTTTTTTTTAGGATGAGATTAGCCAAATAATGTTGGGGTGGTTTTTTTTTTTTTTTTTTTTTTAATTTTTTTTTACCTTTGGAGTATTGATAGTTATGATTGAGTGGTGTCAGGCGTTCCCAACGTGGGTGGGTGTTGCAGTTGCAGGAGGCAGCTTCAATGGCCCCATGCCCTTTTCCTTTGCCAAGGACCACTTTTACTTTGACTCTCTCTCCCTCTATCTCTTAGACCGGATGTGGGGTGCGGTTTCAGCTGATGTGGCACTGAAACACCGCCCCCTTCCTGCGGTTTCGAAGTGTGGTTTGGGGAGTGCGGCAAGAATTGGGAGCGCTCCCTTTCTCTCTCTCTTCCTCTATCTCTCCACCCCTTGGGTGTTGTAAAAATGTGCGGTAAAAAGAGGGAGTGTGGCACCACTCCTTCCAGCCTTAAATATTTCTTTCTGTAATTATTCCAAAAGAAATTATATACTTTAATATTTTTTTTTCTGTAACATCGTTGTTTTTTAGAACCAATAAAGGGTTATTTACTTGAAAATGTTGATAGGATAAGTAGAGAAAATAACTTTGTAAAGTAATAAATTATTATTTTATATATTTTTAATTTTTATATGTAATTTACTATTATCATTATATTTGTTTAAAATAAAAAATACAATTTTAACCCCTTATTTCATGTCTAAGTCTAATTTACCTATTAAAGAAAAACACTTTTAAACATATATTTTTGTACATAATTTATCATTAAACTGATATTTTACATATTTAGTTATTTTCATCTTCAATTTTTCAATAATATTTTTTTAGTGAACACAATAAGATGAAGATACACTTAAATATCCATCGTTGGAGAACCCAAATAGGGCACAATGCAACTTCACACTCATACCTATCGGTAGGTCTGACAGTGAAGCGGATTTTGACCATTGATCCAATCCAAACCCTTAATGATTATATGGGTTTGGTGCATAGTTTTTGATTCGTTTACCCGTTAACGACTCGTATCCGCTAACCCTTTTATTAAAAGAGTCGGATATGGATCATCACCGATCCGATCCATTTATAACCCGCCCCGTATAAATTTTAGAATTATACGTTTATATTTTATCATGTGTAAAGTTTAATTTTAATTCTAATAGAAAGTGCAAAGGGAAAAAAGCCAAAGACCAAACAATTTTTACATAAGACTCGAGGAGTAAACTATTAGATGCTCTATTAACAAGAATCATGGTATCATTTCATTAATATTTCATCAAGCAATCACTAATTTAATTTATAAATCAATAAAGTCATTATCAACCGGAAGAAAGTTTGCAATTGCTACTCTTTATTACCGCATTCAACATTCAAAAATCAATCGGATGTTACTACAATAGTGAATTTAATTCCAATCAAAAGTCATCGAGTATGTAATGCGTTTTCTAAATAAACATTTTTGTTTGATTATTCAAAAAACCAACGAGTTAAGGGGCGGGTTTGGATATGTGTTAATTCGGTGGATAAATGTATGAGTTTGATTATTCAAAATCCTGCGGGTTATGGAGCGGGTTTGGATTGAATTTTGAAATTTGTTTAACGGGTTTGGATCAAGGTCGATTCGCTCCAAACCCGCCCCATTGTCAGGTCTACCTATCAGAGACAACATTGTTTTTATCTCTCGTTGGCGCTTATGTTTTTGCTAGGCATGACACATGCAATGTCTGGGACCCTATGCAAATATCATTGAGATCCATAGAAGAATTATATTGATATTTCATCACTCTCTGGTTCAATGCTCATTGTGTACTGAAGATCCCAACAGGAACAACCCAGTCTTCAGAAAATCATAGCTTAATTGTTCTTTGTCGGATAATGGAAGTTCGTTGTTAGCGGTGGGAGGAAAACGGTGATAGTAAGAGTAGATGGTGTTGGCTAGAGAATATAATTGGTATATAGTTTAATGGTAAATCGTGTAAAGAAAAAAACATTATGCTGCAATACTCGGTTATAATAATGGGTTTTGAACAACTTAAATAAACTTTATGGTAAATCATATACGAAAAAAATAACAAAAGATATACAAAAAATGATAATCCATTACTTTATAAAGTTATTTTTTTCTTTAAAAATTAGAGTCAAAATTATATTAAGAGAGTGTTTGGGATTTCATTTTGAATCTTAAAAAGACTTTTAGGTAAAATGACTTATTGACTTATGATGATGAAAAAAATGAGTTTTTAAAAAGTGTTTAAATTAGCTTCTGCGGTGGGAAAAGTCAAAAAGTCAATACATTGTTGTTTATAAAGTGTTTGTCGTAATCTTATACATGTTTTAAGGGGTATTAATCATTCACAACCCAAAAAGTTATAAGAAGATTTGAAAAGTTAGAAGTCCTAACTTATTGAAATATTTTTTTAAAGGGTTAATGAGAAGTTGTATTCTCTTGAAAGAAGAAGGTTTTCCGGAAACTGTAATTAAGTATGTTGCCAGTGATTAGGTCTATATTTCTTTTGTATCAGAGGTTGCTTGTACACGGTTTAAGAAATATGAGGCGATTAAGGCTTATTTCTCAGTTTTTAGACCGGTTGTTAATGGTTTTTTTGTTAAAGAACATGCTATTTGGTTAGAGTTGGTGGGTTTACCATGTTGTGTTTGGAATGATGTTGCAGTTAAAAAGTTAGCTTCTATGTGGGGTGAGGTTTGTTTTATTGAAGAGGATGGGGACACTCTTTTGGCGGTTAAACGTGTGTGTATTAAGACTGGGAAACCTTCTTTGATTCATGATATGATTAAATTGGTTGCTCAAGGTGTTGAATATGGGGTGGTGATGCGTGAAATCTCAAATTGGGAACCTGATATTATGGAGGAGGGAGAAATAGGGTCGGATATTCTGGACCTGTCAGGGGGAGAGTAAGAGGATGTATGTTTTGATGATGATGTGAATGATATTATTGATGTAGAGAATGATGATAGGGGTGATGAGGGGCAAAAGAATTCTTTTAGCATGGATAATACACCTATTAACGGTGTTAGAGGAGTTGGCTTTGTTGATGGCAAAGGAAGATTTTTTCAAACTAGTAATAAAAGAAAAGGTAATGGAGTTGTGGATGGGGGGCTTTCTCCACCAAATGTTGTTGTCACGAGAGGTGTCGCCGAAAACCAAAGTAATCCGGTTGTGCCTTCTCCGATTACGGTGGTTGAGTGTGAGCTGCAGGGTGATTCGCCCCAATTGGTGGCTAATATGGAGGGGGAGGGGGCATCCGAATCACCATCATAACCTCCCGGTTATACACGAGATTAATCTTCTACTTCTCACGGATCTTCTAATCTTAAAAAGAAAGTCCCGGTAGTAGTTGATGATATAGAAGATGTGTTGAAGCAATATTTTGAAATGGGAGGCCTTATCGGGTATGATTTGAAGTCTATGAAGGAACGGGTTAAAAATATTTTATCTAGTATTGGTGTGGTACAGGTAGATCAATGAAGTGCCTTTCTTTGAATATATGCGGTACCCGTTCTTTTTCAAAAAGAAGTTGGGTTAAGGCACTTTGTTTGCAGTTTGGAGTTTCTTTTTTGGGTTTGCAAGAAACAAGAATGACGCAATTTGATCTTTTCAAGATCCGAAGTATGTGGGGTAATTATAGATTCGATTTTGCTAGTAGTAGTGCTCGGGGTCGATCAGTTGGTATTCTTTATGTGTGGGACCCGAATGTGTTTACTAAAAGTAGTGTTACTTGTACTAGTAATGTGGTTATTGTGGGAGGCTTGTGGATTCCATTTAATATTAACTGTTTTATGGTTAATATTTATTCTCCTCAAGATTTAGTAGGAAAGCAACATCTTTGGGGGTATCTCTCGGCTTTCATGAGAAGGAATGGGGGAAACTATGTCTTTTTTGGTGATTTCAATGTTGTTAGGGAGGCGGGTGAAAGGTTCGGTTCTGTTTTTTGCTCTACTTTTGCCGAGTATTTTAATGAGTTCATTGAAGATGCTGGTCTTATAGATGTGCCTATGGTTGGAAAGCGGTTTACTAGAGTTGATGTCATAGGTGCTAAACTTAGCAAGCTTGATTGGTTCTTGGTCTTGGATGCGGTTTCTGATTGTTTTGATCATCTTCAGGTCTCGGTGTTGGATAGGAAATGGTCGGATCATTGCCCTATTTTGCTTCATTCGAATATGGTTGACTTTGGGCCTTCTCCTTTTAAAATTTTCAATTCTTGGCTTTCTTTGGAGGGTTTTGATGATGTGGTTAAAGAAGTTGTTGTTGATTTTGTTAGTAATCCGGCATGGAGTAAGTTTCTTGTTTTCAAAAACAAGCTTAAATTTATTAAAGCTAGGATACGATCTTGGAATGCAGAGACTAAGTCGGCTGTGCAACTATCTTCATCTCAGTTGTTCAGTCGATTGGTAGAGATTGAAAACTATATTGATGATGGTCAATCTAGTGATGACCTTATTCGTGAAAGAAGCGAAATTCTTGGAGACTTGGGGAATTTAGAAAAAGTCAGATATCTGGAGGTAGCTCAAAAGGTTAAATCTACTTGGGCTGTGGAGGGGGATGAGAACTCTGCGTTCTTTCATGCCTTATTGAAAAAATGCAGAAGGCAGTTGGTGATTAGAGAGGTTACTATTGATGGGGACTGGATTTCGGAGCCTGCTAGTATTAAAAAGGCCTTTTCGACTTTTATGCAGTTAAGTTTCAACCTTTTCTTGGTGTTAGTTTCGACCGTCGAAGCCCTAGATTCAAGTATTTGGATCTGAGGGTTGCTTCTTCTATTGAGGCGGGGTTCACGGCTGAAGAGATTAAGGTGTTGTTTGTTTTTTCTGAGGTAAAATGTCTGCAGTCTGCGGACCACATCTGTAGACCTCTGCAACAGAAGAGGTGGACCAAACGTCTGCAGTCTGAAAAAAGAAGATTGTTTGTTTTTTAACATCTACAGGCTACTAAAATAAACTAAAATCTAAATAAATTGATTTTTTTTAACTACAAAGTGATTATTTAATATATTTATGACTTTGTTATAAATAATTAACAAATCTAAATCAACTTTTATGTATTATTGTATAAAAAGTGAAAATAAAAATGATACAAATTAACGTATATATATGATAAAAAACCAACAATTTTGGTCGCAAAGTTATGCCTAAACATTGTAATTAGCAATCAAAGAATTTGATATATAAATGAGTGGAAATAAACTTCGATTTTTTTCAATTAAATCAATTAAAAATATGTCATAAATATTTTTTCTAAGAAATTGACGATGGTTTATTAAATAATGTTTTATAAATTTTGACACAAAAAATATAAGAATATATTTTTTTTTCATATTTATATAAACAATTTCAACGACCATTATTGTAATAAACTTTTATTTATAAATTTGTCAAAAATATCATGTTTGTGTTGTCGAACTTTTTTTTTAAGTATTGTAATTTTTTTTCAAATTTTTTATCACTAATAAATTTGGAATAAATATAAATTCAAAAAAACTAAAAAAAAATAAAGTATATGTGTTTTTTTAGGCTAGAAGATGTCTTAAGATGTTAGAAGACTCTGATCTACATCTGCGCAAAGACGAGGGCGCGCATACATTTTTAGGTCTGCAGTCTTCAAAAAAATAAACAATCTGCGAAGACTAATGTCTGCGCGTGGTCTGCGCCGCGCAGGCAGAAGAGGCCAGGAAGATCTGCGAAAAAAAAACAATCACCACCTAAAAATGCAGTTTGGGGTTGTGGTGTAGATCGTGCCCCTGGTCCGGATGCTTTTACCTTCCGTTTTCTTAGACATTTTTGGGAGATCTTTGCGGATGATGTTATTGCTTTTATGCAAGAGTTTTTTGCCAAACCGGTTTTTCCGAAGGGGTGCAATTCGTCGTTTATTACTTTGATTCCCGAATCCGATAATCCGCTTTGTATCAAGGATTATCCCCCTTGTAACGACCCAAAAATCAAGGGTAAAAATTTCATTTTTGATTAGCCAAAACACATTTCCATAAACCACAGAATCCAAATACAATTGTTTTCAAAACTCATATCAATTACAATTTTATTTCAAAACATCTAAGTGTCCCACAAAATGCTTGAGAGAGTGCAAGCCACGTCATCAAGCCTTGTCCTTGCCCTTGGGCTCAGAAGTACCTGAAACAAATCCAAAAACTGTAAGCTAATGCTTAGTGAGTCCCCCAGAGCATACCCCACACACAATCTACATACCACATAACATATTAGCTACAAAGCTACACATATCACATAAGCCATGCATACAACATATAAGGAAGCCATGGAAACCTTCCAGGGTCATACACCTAGTGCCACTGGAACCCCCACGTGGTCTTAACTGCCTGCCATGGGAACCCCCACATGGTCTTCCTGCCTTGGGAACCTCCACAAGGTCTTCACTACCAAACAAGACATAATTCAAACTATACATGAAAATATACTAGGATGCCATGGAAACCCTCCAAGGTCTTATACCAAATGCCACGGGAACCCCCACGTGGTCTCAGACTATGCCACGGGAATCCCCAGGGGTCTTCCATGCAAATCTCATACTAACATAATGCATAATCAATCAACAATCCACATAATACAAAATGGGCCGGCGTTGGTGCCTTAGACACATTAGTATGGTGAGAAGACTCACCTCTCGGATGCTGAACTGACAAGCTAGAATCAGATATGTCCCACGTGCTGCTCCAACTCAACTGCCTATAATCATCAAATGACTAACTTGTCATAATCCCATAATTACCCTCAAAGTCAACCCTGGTCAAAGTCAAGGTCAACAGTCCATGTTGACCTCAACTCGTCGAGTGCATCTAGCAACTCGTCGAGTTCCTGCAGAGTCCAGAACACCTGAACAAACCCTAGCCAACTCGTCGAGTTGTATCATCAACTCGACGAGCCCACTTGATAACCAACAGTCGGGGAAAACCGACCCGACTCGTCGAGTTGCCAAGGCAACTCGTCGAGTCCTCCTCCCTGTTTGCTTATTATGATAATCCATCGAATGTAGGGACTCCAGGGCTTAGATGTGAAACCCTAAGGTGTCTAGAAGGATAAAGTTTCCAACTTTACCTTCTATAACCACTCCAAAAGCTCTAAGGCCTTTATCAAAGGTTGGAAAGCTCCAAAGCTTAGCCATTTGGTCCAAGACTCTAGGGATCTGGAATCCCTCCTTTCCAGAAGAGTTTCTAGTCCTTAAAACGTTCCAAAGGTGGAGGCTTTATTGACATACATGTCAAATGCATGTCCTTAAATCAAAATGGCCAAAAAGGGGAAAAATACACTAAAACCCTTGCATGGCATCCTTGGTTGACCAAAAGCTAGATCTAGCCCACCCTGGGACTATTTTGCCCTTGAGATCCATAAAGTTGCAAACTTTATGAATCCCATGCATGCAATCAACAAGAATAATGGGAAATGAAGGGTAAACTCAAGATCTAGCCATTTTCGAAGATAAAAATCAAGTCTTGAAGACTTACAATAGTCCACAAGATGATCAAGCTCAAGAGTGAGGGCTTGGTTTGCTGGATCTTCTCCTTCTTCTTAAGCTCCACAATCACTCTAGCTCACAAAATGGAAGAGAATGGGGATTAGGGTTTAGCACAGACGTTTTAGGGTTTGGAGGCTGATGAAAGGTCAACCTCAAGGTCCTTAAGGAGATTATATAGAGTGCAAACCCTAAAAATTAGGGTTTCTCTTTCCAGCTCCTACTCGTCGAATCATCCTTCCGACTCGTCGAGTAGGGGCCAACCCCCACGTCCACATAATAGCCTCTACTCGACGAGTCGGAGCTCCCAACTCGTCGAGTCCCAGCACCAAAACCCTAACATTGAGAAAAATTAAATTATTACCTGGAACGGATGTTACAAATCTCCCCCACTTATACTAGACTTCGTCCTCGAAGTCTGTCGACCCAAATAAGTCTGGGTAGTGGCCTCGCATCTCATCCTCCGGCTCCCATGTCCATTCGGATCCCCTTCGGTGTTGCCATTGCACCTTTACCAGCTTTACTTCCTTGTTTAGAAGAACCTTGGTCTTCCTATCTAGAATCACAACAGGCCTCTCAATGTAGTTCAGGCTCTCGTCTACCTGAATGTCGTCCAGGGAGACGACTGTGGCCTCGTTTGTGACACACTTCCGAAGATGTGACACGTGGAAGGTGTTGTGAATCTGGCTAAGCTCATCCGGCAGCTCCAAGCGATATGCCACCTTTCCCAACCTGGCCGTAATCCTGAAAGGGCCTATATATCGTGGCCCTAACTTGCCCCA